CCCCCTGGGGGGTGATTTCTCGCTTTCTGTCTCTCTGTCTGTCTGGTGAGCGCACGCGCCCTATAGCAAAAACCTCTTAAAAAAAAAAAAAAAAAAGCAATGTCAACCAAGAATTCTATACCCGGCAAGATTATCCTTCATATGGGAAGAAAAGATAAAAACATTCTCAGATATACAAAACCTGAAAGAATTTACCAATACCAGACCAGCTCTTCAAGAAGTTCTGAGAGGACTGCTTTACCAGAAAAACTAAAGACACACATACAGAAATAACAGAACAAAAGTAACCAAGAAAATGACCAACTTGATGCTAAGAACAAGAAATATCAATAATAATGTTGAATGTTAACTTCCAGGATTTAAACAGAAAGATCAGGCCAGAGTGATGCTGCAAATCTAACAGAAGAGAAATAAACTACATAAGACCAAACTGGTGAAATAGAATTTCATGACTTTTGAGTAAAACATTACTGTCTTTTTCTTTATTATGGTTTGTTTTCCCACTTTAAGGATTTTGCTTTCTTTTGAGTTGTTGATAGGTTCAGCAATTTGTTAAAACGATTTTCTTATTTGTTTCTTTAAATGGAAACATAAACTTTTCCCCCTTCATGACCCCTCTAAGGATAGGAAAATATTTGGGACTATTCTTATTTTGTGGCAGAATGGTTATTTGCATAAGTTCAGTAATACCTGTTGCCTTGCATCAGAAGTTGGAAATACTTGTTGTTGGACATGGCTTTGACTAGAATGTTATATCTCAAGATTAAACCAACTATGGAACTAAGGTAGATCTCAAGTAAGCTAACAGAAGCTCTTGGAAAGAGGGCCTGGCACCATAAATATTTCTGCCTGGTAGAGAGGATTAGAGAAGTTATATGAAAGAATTCGTGGCATAAAATAACCTGGACTTTTCCAGTCCAGCACTGTAGTCAGTAGAGATTGCAAAAGAGCAGCCACAATCAGAGGATTATTTTGAAGAAGACCTTGAAGGAAGAAAAAGAGACTGATCTTTGGTATATTTTGAATATACAATCAGAATATACAATCAGAACATGCTGGCTGAATTGAGAAGGTTTATGTGTGAATTGTATGCTGAGTGTTTGCCTTTCAATAGTTTGATAGTTGACATATAAATATTTTCTTAAAAATATTTAAAGCCATACTGTCTTTGTTATAGAGTTACAAAATTGTAACAAATATTTTGAACATTATCTTTAAAATTCAGATTTTTAGAATTTTAGAAGTTATTTATTGACTGGCAAGAACTATAGAATTTGAGCAAAAATTTTTTGATATGTAAAGTAAATACTTGTGGGGAAATGTAAAAATAAATGATTAGAAAAATAAACAGATAAATAAATTTTTTAAAAGTTTGTGGGTACAGAAATCTATAGCATTTTTATATACAAACAACAGGCAACTGAAACAGAACTGAAAAAAGTAATTCCATTCACCGTAGCCTCAAAAAATATAAGATACTTAGGAATAAATCTAGCCAAAGAAGTTAAAGACCTCCACAAGGAAAACTACGAGAAGCTAAAAAAAGAAATTGAAAATGACACAAAAAAGTGGAAGGACATCCCATGTTCTTTGATTGAAAGAATTAATATAATCAAAACGGCAATTCCACCCAAATTAATCTACATATTTAATGCAGTCTCAATCAAAGTACCAGACACATTCTTCACAAATCTAGAAAAGACGATCATAAAATTTGTCTGGAATCAAAAAAGACCTTGTACTGCCAAAGCAATC